TTTCACAACACTATTTGCATATCAAAAACTACTCTAGGAATTCCTGATTATATACACAGAACATGCCAGCACAGATCAGTTCTTACTACTCAAAGACTGCCCCTCCCCAGGCAACTTCTTCATTTGATGGGAAGTCACCACACACTGCAGCAGAACTGCAAACGCGTTTCCTTGCTAGATCTTTGGCCTGTCCTTATTTTAAGAGAGGCCATTATTAACTAATCACAGATCAACAGGCACAACCCCCTCTCCCTTCAGATGCATTTCAGGCAAGGAAACAGACCTTTGTTTCCGTGATTCAGGGCCCAATTAAATCTCAAAGCCAAAAGAGATGAACATGAACTTCACAAGAAAAAGGTAAGCAAGAAAGCCATGTGTCTGAAGTTGTCTGGAGTAGCATGTTTGAAAATATTTAAACAGTTCCCCATGAAAACAGGGATTTGGTGACTCAGGAACTCTGATTCACCCATGTCCTCCCAGATCCCTCCACGACCTTAAGAAAGTAACCTCCGTGACATTTCTCTACACCATATGCCTCCCAACAGGTTTATTTAACTGCTCCAACAGGTACAGTGATGGGAAGGAGGGAGGCTACACCCTCCTGCTCAGCAAAGCCAGGAAAAAGCTGCAGCTCTGCTTTGCCACAGGGAACACAGCACAGGAAGGTGCTTTATGTCCATGCTACTCCCTGCAAGAATGGAGGACTTTAGCACGACCTTGCTCTACATCAGTGTCTCCAACATCCCTCAACAAAACCAGAGCAGTAACCTTCATTCAGAAGGTTTCTGGTGTTTTGGTTGGGCAACTCACAGGAATACTAAAAATGATGAAAATTATAATAGCAAATATTAATGACTAATAATGAGAGATATAAACGTTTTCATAAATACTATAGGACTTTTGCTTTGCGATTTTAACCACTTCCTATCAGTTAAAGGCTGGAAGGAGGTTTTGCTGGCACCAAGTGATGGCACCACGAGGTATTCTGCAATTTCTTCAAGGGTAGTAGTATCAGAGACTGAAGGAAAGACCATGAAGTACTAAAGGATCTTGACGACAAAGTTTCTTTCATTGAAGGAAAGGAATCAAGAAGGGCAAAACGAGAATGATACGAAGTGAATTCAAATGAACTTGTATGTCTCAGCCTGAATAAACACCAGCACACTTCTGCTCACAAATTTTAGTCACAATTTCTTGTTTTCTCCAATGCATTTAATACTTTAGCAAGTATCAGTAACCAAAAAAATGCAATTAGTTCTGTGGTTAAATTAAGTCAATCTACAACTACATTGTCACCAAACAGGACAGACTGATTAAATACAGTTGTGTCAGACAGTACACACACTAGCAAGCATGTCCAGCTCAGGGTAAAGTTTTGTGGAGCAGCTGAGCTCCCTGTTGCCCTAGGGGAGGTCTCACTCCTTGCTGCCTTCCTCTAGCCTTGCTTCTGGCAGTGAAGTTTCCTCTCTCTCCCCCCTATAAGCTTCAGCAGGTTTCACACCCCTTGCAGTGCTGACTCAATGCACTAACCTGGCAGAGAACCATCCAGTCTCTTCTGCCAGGACACCCAGCTCATTGAAGGATCCAACAATACATGTCACAGTCACCAAAAAACCCAAGGCAGAAGCAGCCAGCAACCAGCTGGCAGCAGGGACAGAAGCAAAGGAGGGAAGAACAGGAACTCCAACTTCTGCCAAGCATAAACCATTCAACCCTTCTTCTCCAACTTCCTCCACATCCCAGAACCACGCGATTGGTAAAGCTGATACAAAAAGGAGGCGTGAACACACAGCCAGAGAGGAAGGGCAGGAGTATTTCCCTCAACAAGCAGAGCTCATCCAGGCTGTGTCAACCACAGAGCCATAGGCACTCCAAACATGGGCTCAGCATGGGACAGGAGGGGCACAGCAGTGACACATCATGTCATGGAGCTGTTTGTGTCTCCACCAACGAGCAGGGAGGGTGGTTGGTGTATGGAGGCACAGACCAGCCACACATCCCATAGAGAGGCACAACTACGTTGAGCAGATACAATGGTGTAAAATATATATAGAGAGAATAGATAAAAACATAGGGAGAGATGAAGGGGAAAGCTGCCCGACATAAGCCGAAGTAACCCTACAGCAATGACAGAAAACTGGTCACTAGAGTGGGGAAAAAACAAAAGAGTCCGTGCCTTGGTGTGACAACAGGAAGTGAGATTATACGAGTTTGTTTGGTATTGGCACCCCAACAGTGGGCACAGCGAGTACGGACCGTGCAGCAGGAGACACGGGGCACTGAAGCACGAACACAGCCCTGGAGAAGCGGAGATGGACCACCAAGAGAGTCCACGCTCCCGAGCCCGAGCTGGCATTGCTGTGGGTGATGAGCACCAGCTGCCTGGCACTCCTCACCCATCTGCTCAGAGGGGGTGACCCCAGCAGCGATCACCGCGCACTCTGCCCACCCAGTCTCACGTACCACACACGCTGCCCCTTTCCCTCGCACTTACCGCGTCCCCCTCCTCCTCAGAGCCCCCCAGAGCCCGGCAGGACCCCCCACAGCCCCGCCTGCCGCTCTCCCCGGAGCCGGCTGCCCATACCTGTCCCCCCCAGGCCCCCACGGCCCCCGCCCCGGCAGCCCCTGCCCGCTCCGCGCACACCCGGCCCCGCTTCCTGTCCCCCGGCACGACCCCGGCGCGGCCCCTTCCCGGCGGTACCTGAAACGCGGCGAGTCCTTCAGGCACTCCTCGAAGTCCACGGTCACCTTCATGCTGCCGGGGCGCCGCTGCCTCCGCTGCTGCGGCTGCTGGCGGTGGTGTCGCGGAGAGCCCGGGGCGAGGCGAGGCCGGGCCGGGGCCGGCGGGCGGTGCTGGGGGCGGGGGCAGTGCCGGGGCGGGGGCGGGCAGAGAGCTCCGAGCACCGCCCCCGCCCCGCCGCGACTGACGGCCCGGGCAGCCAGCGGGGACCGCCCGCCGGGGCGGGGGCGCACGGGCCAATCGCGAGGCGGGAGAGGCGGGCACAACGGGGAGAGCGCCCAATCAGTGCGGCCACCCCCAGGAGGCAGCCAACCGCCGGCCCCGCAGGGATCGGAGTGCGAAGAGTGACAGCTGGTCCCGCCAATGGGAGCACGGCCGCCGGCCTCTCCCGCCAATGGGAGGCTGCATGGCCGCGGCCGCCCGGAACAGAGGCCTCGGGCCGGGTCGGCGCTGCAGGGGCGGGCCGGGCCGTGCTCGGTCTGTGCCTGCGGGATATGTTACATTAAAGCTCCTCATTAAACAGGGGAACCCCTCCCCTGGGGAGCGACACCTGTGCTGGAAGGCCCGGCGCCCGTCTGAGCAGGTGATCCGGGGGGCGAGCAGGGCCCGCGGTGCCGCGGCCGGCGGGGCGGGCACTGCGGCGGGAGCGCGCACGGACCCGCACACACGGACTAACACGGGAGTTCATACAAGGGCACACACGGGCACACAGGGCCAGTCCCTGCTGAGGGTGTCACCGTGCAGAAGCCCCAGCTCTCGGTGCTCTCCGGCGTGATGCACTTCTACACCGTGGTAATCACTGCGGAGTTGTGTTACCTAGAGGAGACGCGAAAGTGTCTTTGAAGGAGAAACGCAGACCGCAGGTGTTCCTGTCAAAGACTATCAGGTGTTTGTGTGTTCGGGTTTGCCCGAGAATACTCTTTGAAGGACCGTATCACAGAGTGAAAAAGGACCATGTCGGTCCTCTCGCAGTTTGCAGTGAAGGACTGCAGAAACATTGTAGATTTCTGACCCCTTAAGAGAATGCAGAAAAGATCTTTAGCCACTGTTCCCAGATGTAAAACTAACAAGCAAAGGAGCTCCAGCCATGCTGCTCGTCCCCAAAGGAGGGACAGACAAGTACGACTTACTGTTCAGGTTAGACCTGGCACAGATGAAGCAGTCACACGTCCCGGGCTCCATCCTGCAAGCACAGGGGCGCTGTGCTGGGAAGCTGATGTGCACTGATAATCTTCACACTTACCTCCTCCAGGAGTTTGAGGAGCTGCCATACCTGCTTCCAGCGAGCCCACTTATTCCCTGCAGCCCTCACACCTTCCATTGCCCCAGTATCTGCACCATGTTTCACCTCTCTTTTCCTCTTTCCTGTTCTCCCCATTCTCTCACCTCCGACATCCTTGTGGTGTCACAAGGACAAACATTCAGCATCGAAGGATGGAGGGGAACATAAGACTTCTTTTGTTTCTAAGAGGGTGAATGGCTGCAGTACCCTTACTGTTCCTCTCTCAGTTCAGGTGTCCTTTCACAGAAGCAAAGGGACACTTTGTGATTCATTCATTTGTGGTTTAGGGTGTCAGGGTTTTTTCCTAAGACTGGTGAAATGTCAGAACCAAACTCCAAGTTACACAGATGTAACAACCGTATGTTTTTGTGAGCTGTCCCTCACCAAAAGTAGCCAAACTACCACTAGTTTGGTTAAGGAGTCAAGTCACACCCACTGAGAAGAAGCATCATGTTAAGAAATATTTGTATCAGTTAGGCTGCACTGATGTTGTGAAATCCACTTTTCAGCTGAAGTATGCAATTGTAAAAAGCCCAGCTCTTTTTCTGGGAATAGTTTTACTTCCTAAGGAGTAGTTGGTGTTAGTAATTTTCCATTACTCAGTGGTAGTGAGTGATTACTCAACGCTGACCATGAAGAGACAGACCAGTCGTGCCTAAATCCTACAACACACAAAGAAAAACACCCTGAAAAATGCAACCTTTTATGTGGTGCTGCTGTCTTAAATTCGTGATTCGGGTTACCAGATCTACCCTGAGGTCCAGGTAAGCCAACAAATCTGAAAGTGTGTACAAACTTGATTTATATAAAAGTTACACTAAAGAGTACATCCGCACTTGCAGTCACAAGGAAATTGCAATATTGGTTTAAGAATCTATCTGTGAACACGCCTGCAAACTCTGCAGTAGCTGCTGGTTTCTTCTGAAGAGCTCCAAGAAGTAAAACCAATAGATTAGTATTGGTGCCATAAGGCAGTAATGAAAACAATGGTTTTATTTACGTTGTGACACTTAACACTGGTTTCCAATAGAATAATTACATTTGCGAGGTGGCATCATAATTAACACCACAAAAAAAGCATATTACAGAAACAAAGAGTTCTGGTAAGAGTTACAGCTTTAACATGAGAGTGGAAAAAATATCTGCAGTTTCCATGAACTGTGTACAACTTGGTGTGAAAGAAACTTTAAGAACAGAAAAAAAAGACTTTATAGACAGAGTTAAGGCTCTTATTTGCAAGTTATCTTCCTATTGGAAGCATATTGAAAATGCTCTCTCTAAACAGGATGCAGCTTGAGGACTCAAACCTGTGCAAGAAGCTTCACAATTATGATGCTGTGGAGCTCACTGTCCACATTAGTAAGGGCTGTATATCTTTTGTTTCTTCTTTATACCACTCTGTACTGTACAAATGAACCTTTACCATATGCACCTAAAGATTAAGATGTACATGCAAGCTAAATCCCCATCAATGTAAAAAAAAAAAAGGCATTTCTTCTCTTGTCCCTTTGGCAGGGAACTATAACTGATATTTCCCAAGTAGAGGGAAATCAGACATCCCTTTGGAAAAAAAGCTATATAGAGTATCTGTAACTACTTGCCTGGTTTAGCTTTTAAAATACATGAAGGTGTAAGCCTGGAGAAAACCAAGTAAACCTGCCTTTCAGTTAAAAGCAGTGTCAGGGACATCAGGTTTGCACTCCTGGTGAGGAAGATGAAACAGCAGAACAGAATTTTTGCCAGCACCAAGGAGAATGAAGAGAACAAAGCCTTTAAAAAAACCCCAAACTAAAACAAGTTTCAAAATGGCATCAAACTAGAACCTAGGGGTTTGGTGGCATGGAAAAAGGGAAATCACTCAGCTCAAAATCATCTGACTGATGAAAGGGCCTACTATACATTCTGAGGTTAATTTAAAACCATCTTCATGCATTTATGTACTGTACCTCCCTCAAAGCTACACACTCATTTCATTCGGGACTTTGGAAGCCATTACAGGAAAGGTCTTTATTGGAAGTTAGCAAAGTTTGGTTGTTTGTTAAACAAAATGCTTTCTAGACCTTGTAGGGTACAGAGAAGCCCCACTGAGCACCAAAATGGTCTTGGACACAGAAGGCAGGGCGTGGGTAAGGAGGACAGGACATTAGCTTGGATAAGAGCTGGTGCTGCTGGATTTTACCTTAACTGCAGGTACAAAGTACCCACGTGTACTTATCACCAAGTACAGGTACTGTGTTGTACAGCCTCACAGAACAGATCTGTGTTCCCCACACACATTGATCACCCCCGACCCACTCACACCCCTCTGAAAGCGACGTGACTTTGCCGAGCAGGACCTCAGTGCCTGGCGCGGGGTCTGAAACAGCTCAGTGCAGACACCACTCTGAACACTGCAAACTGCTATGGAAAGGGAGCAAACTTAAGAGTTTTGAAATCCTATTCTTGTGAGCCAAATTTAAAGCTCAAATAAATTACTTGAGGAGTCAGAAGTATCTAAATGCTTGCTCTTAACCCCTGTTTATTCTATAGAAGTGCCTGTGTTTGATACGAGAAGAAATAGCATTATCCATCTTGAAAAATTAGCATCACCACACTGGCCTGAATCAAGAGTTCAACTCTTTCTTGTGAAAAGATGCTATTAACCCTGATTCAGGACCTTAGAAGATTAAATAACCCACAGCTGACTAACTACCTTGTTACCTACTAAGGAGAGGAAACAGTTGGGAAAGGCACACTACAACACCCAGTTAGCACAACTCACAGGTATCTTTGGCAATGCATCCATTCTAATGAATTATTCCTGTATAATTCTTCCAAAGGACAGCATCCTATCACCTTATTCACTCTCAATCTCTCTGGGACTTCAGGAAAGCTCACACCTGAGAATGCATATAACTGTAAAATAACTTTCATTCCTTTATTCAAACTTCACATATACAGTGGAGAAAAAGACATTTTAAAATAGATCCATATAATTATATGGATTTTTGCAACATATCAAATTCAGATCAAAATTAAGATATACACTGTATTCCATAACCAAGCTAAAGCTTAAGTGTATTACTTTGTTTGTGTAATAAACCCCAGGAACTACTCTGAATACCGGAACATTCACCAGTCAAATTTCACCCAGTGGGAAGTTGCTTACAGCAATTTGGAGGTGCAGAATCCCTCTTTATGGGGGCTATATAATCACACTGTAAACAAAGTATTTGAATTAGGCAGTTTCCCTTCTAGTCTTCCAAAAAACCTTCATTTATAAAAGCAGTTGCTGTAAGTTGCAATGGACATAGGAAGATACAGACCAGTGGTTTTCAGTATGGGGGTTGCCAACCCCAAATGAGTAGATCAACAGCAGTTATCTTTAATAAAGAACAGCCAGAGCCTAAGCTCAGCACATCTTCACAGTCCTGATGTGGATTTCCTTGTGGCTGGGTGTTTTTCCTCAGGTGCTAGTAGCACAAGCACTGTTCATGCAACTGGAAAGAACCAAACGTCTGAAATGAGCCAGAAGAGTGACAGTGGATGTGGTTTTAAGAGAAAAGCTGGAGGAAACTTCCATGTTGTCACAATAAGCCAAAGAGAGCTCCACAAAACAGCCAGTCCCGATGGAAGAGATAATGACAGTGAAATGCAAAGATCAAGTCAGCCGTTTCCAGTGTCAAAACATTCCCTCCACCAGATGTTAGTACTGCTTTAGTCAGAAACTAACAACCGATTCCAAACACCGCTCTTAAGAAATAACACAGCTCTTGTTCTAAAGACTGGGAAAGTGCAGGCAGTAACATACTGAAATCTAGATTAACAGGTCAACACTTTACAAAAAGGTCGTAGGACTTAAATAATCCCTTTTTAAATTGCTTAACACATCTGATAAATAGCTCACATGTCAATCTGATATTATGCTGTACCGTTTGGCTCTTGAATCCCAAACCTTTCGATAAGAGACACCACATCTAGAACACTCTCAAATAAATAGTGAAAAACCGAAAGACAGTGAGTGTTTCAAAGCAAGAGTAACAGTACATCACGCAAGATAATCAGCATTATACATACAGGGAATGCCATTCTGGTTGAACAGATTATGAAGCAGTATTCTTCATGAAATACTAGGCACAAGAATAAATCAATCAGACAGTGTTTGCTGCCTAATGGACAAGTCTAAAATTAACATTCTTGGCAATACAACATTGTAACTGATATGCTTCTCAACATTTAAGAGCCTTAATTGCAAAAAACATGAAGCGATGTTTATATTTGTGTCTTTGACAAGCAGTTACAGTTCTGGACAGATTTCTTCTATGCTGTGTGCTCTACTTTCCAGCTGGTCACGAGTAACATGTGCTGTGTAAGAAAGATTACAAAAAAACCAGATAATTCTTCACACTCATTGGATATTTTCAAAACACACATAAATACCCTCCTGAAATCATCTTTGCTTCTCCAAAGGTTAAATTTGCCATCTTAGCAATGTATTAGCTTTTAGTCTAAGAGTGCAGAAACTTAAAGTAGTTATTTTACCCTCACGCTCTGAAAAGGTGGCCAACACCACTGCTCAGCACACCGAGCACCACCCCTGGAACTGGGAGGATTTAACCCAGGAGTTAAGACCTAACACATGAAGTTCCTGAACATCAGCAAACACAGTACTTTCCATGTCAAATTTCAATTCAGTGAGACACTTGAAATAAAACCCCCCAACTTTATACATGAAGGAGCACAGTCTGTTGTGTTTTCAGGAAGTTGTTAATTCATGGTTTTGAGCCAAAGCACAGCAACAAATTGGAGAAAACTCCTTATTAGTGCTTTTTACACAAAAAAAGTCCACTCTCTCTATATATATGTATGTGCCTAAAAATTAGTGGCAGAAGAGAAAGATCAAAGAATACCACATCAAAATAATCTCTTTAAAAGACCAGTTAAGCTTGGGCATGAGTTAGGTTTGGTAATGTGCAGTTTAACAAGCAAATAGCATAGTTAACCAGCAGAACCAATTGCTGTGTGCTCCCAGCCTTCTCACTTAAATCATCTTTAGGGCGATGCTTGCCCTGGTTAAGAAAACACAGCGTATTCTGTATCTACCAAAGGCCAAAGGGCACACCCAGTCAGGGACAGCTCAGCTGATGGGCATTCTCTCAGCAAGGTTAGCACAGCTAAATGAACCAGAGAGAGAGAACAATAGTCTTACTGCTTGTCAATTAAACTGCTACAGACAATACCCTCTACCTGATACTTTTCTGCAGCAGAAGTAAAGACAGGTCTGCAGGGCAATCATCATGCTTAAATTTACCTACATCAAGAATATTCCCTTCAGGGATTTCAAAGAGAACTTCTAAAGGAAAGGTTTTTATGGAGAAGAACAAAGGTCACTTCTGCTGGCAAAGTCTATTTATGTTGTTCATGGAGTCATAAACAGGGAGTAGCCAGAGAAGCTGAAATGTTGAAACAAGCAAACACAGAATCATAGTATGGTTTGGGTTGGAAGGAACATTAAAGGTCATCTAGTTCCAGCCTCTGTGCCACGCACAGTCTATTGCGACTTCAACTTTCTTTTCCACAAAAAATCTTGGCTGCTAGAATCCATATGAATAGGATAAGGTACAGCTACTTGAGGCAAGCAAGGAATGACCCCATCCATTTAGAACACTCAGCAGCCACAATGGAGACGGGCAAAAATACACGAAGAGTTCTCACCATCACTGACTGGACTGGCCATCTTCATTTCGATCGGCAAGAAATCTCAGTCTGTAACCAAGAAGCGCAACTTGGATTAGTGAACCTGGGAGTGTCTGACAGGAGCCTTCTTAAAAACCTGCCCTAAGACTTTAGCCCCTTCTTCAAAAGGGGAGTGTAGAGATTAGAAGAGTTAGTTTTACTCAAATACAAACCAGACAGGATTAGAGGGTAAAAAAGAACATCAGATGAGGCACAGAACCTTTTAGGGATCTTCATAGACAAAAAAAAACTTCCAAGTGAGAAAAGGGTCTCAAATTGCCTAAAAGACAACCCAGGAGCCAGTGGAGCCCTAAAGTTACAACAGACCACTAGGAAATGCCTCTTATGTCACGTCTTTACCTGCAATAATCATCAGTACTACAGAAGTCATGTTATTGTGTTGGAATAAAAAGACACTGCATTGCAGCTCCCACTCACGTAGACTGACAGGCGTAACTGGGGAGTGGAAGCCACATCACCTCACCATCTCCACAACTTCCCAAGAACTCAAGTCAAGTGGAAGGATTTATCAAAATGTAGCTACAATACAACACCAGAAAACCCAAGACATTTCCTTTGCAATTAAAAGCAAGTGTCAGGGCTGTTAGTCAGTGAAGCCAATACAAGCCATTGCAAAAATCAGCTCCTGCATCACTCAACCCCTCCTTTCCTATACAAAAGCACTTTAAAACATAATTTGAAGTCAAAGAGCTCTTTGAAAGCTACCCAGGTGAATAATCTTTCTATACTCTTACAATACTAACAAGGCAATCTCAGGAACATGAATATTAATAGCATTTTGATCTACTTCCACAAAGGAAACAATCAAATTGAAATACTGTTTTAAATACTCAAGTGCTTAATGTGACCAAAAGCACAGCATGACCAAAAGCAGAGATGGGCAAAAAACCCAAGTAGCAACTGTTAAAACCATCTATTTGAGAAATGTTCCGTGGCTCTAATTGACATTTATGAATAAGAAAATTCTTCTGTGCTCTCAGAATACAGATGAGAGAGAAACAGATGTAATCTCAAAAAAGTTATTTCAGTAAAACTTTGACATTAACACAGCTATGTTGCTGAACATTTATCGCAATGTAGGAATGTCTGAGGACATTCAGTTCACCAGCTGCTACAGAAGTGAGACCAGTACTGAACCTCAGAAGAACTGATCCAAGGACAGAGACCAAAAGCTGTGAGAGTTGATACAGAGATTAGGACATAATGAAACATCAAGGTTTAAGCAGAATGATAGAAAAGTGAAGAATTGAGAACTACATCAGGTTAATGGAAAGTATTTCTATATGTTATGGTGTAGAGGTGAACCAGTTAGTTAATGGGTTGATAAACTGGCAGACAGTTTATAAGCCATGAGCAGTCTAAAATTGATAATTACCAGTTGTGGCTCTGAAGCTGGTTATGAGGAAGGTGGAATGGACTTCAACAATAGAGATGGAAAAATGCTGCAAAGGTGTGCCTTCTTTCCAGTGGCGAATGCAGCTGGGGAGCGGAGTTGCCTCTGTTTTACAGCAGAGTGCAGAGAGATGGCAGCTTCAAGCCATGGAGAAAGGTCATACGGTTGCCTATGGGAGCCCTCCTTTCCCCTGGAGAGTGAAGTTCTAGTAATTAGCCATTATAAGGCATATGTTAAGTTACTGGATTAAGTCAGTCCAGTAATGGGTCTCAGACATGAACCAAATGACCCTTTCAGAGCAATTGTGAAGGCATTAGTCCCCCTGTAATAAATGATGGGACTAAAATGTGCAATCCACAGAACTTAAACATGCAACTTTGCATATCATCTTTTTATTGTGTGGAGTTTAAATGAATTTTAGAAGAGGTCCTAGTTCACATGGTTGTGAAAAGCACACGTGAACCAAGTTAAACCCATGCAGCATCTTCCCAAGTCTGCAGACCATGCTAACATCTCATAGCTTTGCCACCCGCAGATGAATGAGGCTTACAGACTTCACAGCCCATCAGCAACAGATGTCTGGTTTTTTAATGTCAAAAACTTGTTCAAAGTGCTGTTACACACACAGGTGGGAAGTGAACTGTAATTATTCACCAGAAGACCACCACAAAAATCTAAGACTTTTATTATACAGTTTACCCTTTTCACCCAGAGAGCAGCTTAAAGATGAAAGAGAAGATGTCAGCCTCTATAGTTTTATAAGTTTCCTGTGAAGAGACAGCCCTGAAGCAGGTTTCAGAAACAGCTCCAACCTAAAAGTCTCAGACTTTCTTCCAGTAGCTGCACTAAAAGCAAAGCTGAGAGTCTTATCCCATACTATAGAAATAAACATTACTGCTCAAGGACAAGTCTGTACTGAAGGCCTAACACCAGTTTTACATTAGAGTTTTCTTCCTTAGGAAGTTAAGATACAGTTGTCTCAGTGGAGAGGAAACATTCATGGTTGTTTCCCGTTGCTGGCTCTAGGATGGATTGGGAGCAGAATGGGAACTGACCCACAACAAAAAGCCAGGCTCTCCTGTGTGGCCACAGCTTTTAATGCTGGGTACAAGACAGCTTTTCCCTTAAAAAGGATGCTGGCAACTTCTCTGCCCAAAGTCAGTTATGTTGGGGAAACAGTAGGAAGCAGAGATGTTTGCTTTTCTGTTTTGTCACAACAAACAAAAGCCTATGTGCTATTTATCAACACTGGTGGTTTGTGTTCCATGCTACAGATCTACCTCTCAAGACAGTGTGCAGCACTGCTCACCGTTTCCCAACAGCTCAAAGGGACACCAGTACTTACACGTGCTTTTTAATTAATCAGTAGCTCACCATGTACAGCAGCTTCTGTACTCATTGTTTCCTCATCTGCAGCATCAGACATCTCTTCATCCTCATCATCATCATCCTCCTCCTCACCATGTAGTTCTTTTGCAATGAGCTGTCTTGCCAGTTTGATGTTTCTTCCTTCATTGTAGTGCATTTTTCTCTTCATTTCAAACTGTTTCTTTTTCTCTGTGAACAAACAAATGCAAATATTTATTTCTTCCCTTAAAAAGAAAAATTAACCTATTTCTTCTTCAAAGAGGCACTCACTGCTTCCTAGATCAAATTTGTTCCTACCTTGAAAATACATTATTTAGTAAATCACTGATTTAAAATTATTTTCTTCAAGCAGTGGAGTGTTCTTATATTGAGTCTGACTCACAAAAAGGATAGTAATTGATGGACTGGAATGCCTGAAGCACTTTAAAAAGAACCTGTTTGCAAGTAAGAGCAAGTCTGAACCAAGAGAAGCATCTGGTAGCAGCACACAAAATTCCAAAGTTTCACAAGCCTTGTTTCTAAGTAAACTTAGGGACAAACTGAGACATACTGGTGGGACAGAAGATGAACTTGTGCAGATGTGGCCTGACTCCTGGCTAGCTACCAAAGGTCAGTTATGAGAGATATATTTACCACATGTAGAAGAAAATATTTTCCACTTTCCCCATGGCCTGAAGCCTAACTCTGCTCCATATACTAAACATTAGCAGGTCTGGCAATAATGCATTATAATTAAAATAAACTTTGCTTATTGGCAGCCCAAACACTGTTAGTTTCTGTTCTTACTTCAGAATAGCAGGGTTACATGCTTAAAGTTGGGACCAGGAAATCTGAGAAGCACCAGCTAGATAATGCAAGACTGAAACCTCAGAAGTGTTGTTTGACTGTTCCCTCAAAACACTCCAGTTCAAGTTAACACAAAACAACATCTCTATTAAAGGTGCTATTTGCTTTGGAATAACTGTAGATTTCCTACTGGATACACCTACTAGTTGCTTTGAAGACAACAGAAATAGCATCTGTATGTTTGAAAGCAATTAGTAGCATCTTAATTGCAGTGGTACTCATTGAATTAAGCCTACCTGAAATATGTCCATATTAAGAACTACTCCCTCACCCCCAAACCAAAAGAACTTAACTGAGGACTCTAGATTTTTTTAGCAGGAATTCTTGCAGCTGAAGCTTGTATACAAGAAGGAATCCAGCAACAGCAAATTCCTGTTTATATGTAGATCCCAAACCAAACAGTCCTGATTAGAAACAAACAGCATATTTATTCAAAGACTATTTATCTTCATTTTCAAATCACAACATTTTTCTAATAGTACTTTTTCTTCCCAAACATTTCTAACTGAAAATCTGAAACTATTTGGTAGGAAAAAAAAAATCAAAGCAAAACACAGGAAACATCTTATGCCTACCTCGTTCCTCAGGTGTTAATTCTTCATCCTCTTCCTCCTCCTCACTGCTTTCCTCTTGCCTTGCTATGATCTTGGGTCCTTTACCTTCAGCTGCAGCTGCCAGTCTACATAAATCATGCAATACAAAATGCTGAAACAGCAAGTTTTTCACTATTTCAAATACATGGCATTTCAGAACACTCATACACACTGCTTTGTTCATTATTTTTGCATATTTTCATGTAGTAACAACCTGCAATTTTACTAGTGGCGCCATCAAACACTGAAAAGCAGTTAATTTGACAACAGCAAAAATGAAACTTCTGGAGAAACCAGCAACAGCTTTCCATAAAGAAAATGTACCCCAGGAAAGAGCAGATTATCATAACATTTAGTCAATGTTTTCTATGACAATACTTACTTTTTACTCAGCACGTCTGCTTTTAAGGGCTCATTTGCTTCTGAATCACTCACTGGATCCTCATCATCTTCTCCTACCATGCTTGGAGAGAAAACAAAAAGTAGCTTCTTTTAGTAATTTGCTGCTTAAAGTTTGCTGAGAAAACAGTCAAAACCTTCAATTAAAAGACTTCTTTAGTACTTTAAAAGCTTTCCAAATCTACTTTAAATAATGATATGACAACATTAGATTCTAGCACTGAAAAAAATAAAATCAATACAAGTCAGACTTATTTATTCCATTCAAAGCCTAAAGCCTGCTAGACATAAACCTTCTAAAATTGACTTTGCTCTTTTAGATAGTTCTCCTCAGTAGCTATAAGCTTTATTTAGCAGCTTTGTAAATCTGAATACATTGCATACATTCAGTAGGCCTGCACAGTCACAGATAATCAGCCATAATAAATATTACATCACCCCCAAGGTCAATTTTGCTGTAAAACTATGACGTCACCTGGCTGCATTCAGGAGTTTAGCAAGCATACCTGTGATAAGGAGTACTTGGTTCATCTATTTTCATCAAGCCATAATCTTTGCCTGCAGGGTGGTATGTAGCTATGATGTTCATTTCATCCCACTTCTGGGACTTTTTACTGAAATAAGAAAACAAAGTTAAATTTTCTTATATTCTAAAAACATTTAGTGCTGTTTGACCACAGAAAGAATGTTTAAAACATTTTTTGATCTTTACTACATCCTAAGTGCAAAGAATATTGTTGTGACACACAGACATATTCAAAGTATGACTAATAAATACTGTTCTATAGATACTTATGTCATGACGAATTATCAGTGCAACTTAATTTCCCTAATAAGTCATAATAGCCAGATAAACTCAGTGATCTATAAATGTATTCTTGTTCATATAATCCAGAAACTACTGGTCTTGTTCAATCACTGTCTTGTGAACTGCTGGATTTTACAGTAACTTGTAACAAAGCACTCTTATTACACCCCACAAGACCTCAGCAGAACCCAATACCTTCCAGCTCACCTCTGCTCAGGGAGCTGCTATGATTATTACCAAACCTGTTACATAAACAACACCAACCAGCAAATCCCCCCCTGCAGTAAAATAAGCAGCACAGAACAAGCTGGTTATTAATACTGCTCTTGTAATTCTAAATTGGAATCATAAGCCAACTGATTCACTGCTGTAATTAAGCTGAGGGAGTTTCACATTTTACACAGACAAGCACCAGTGATGTTATATTATTTAGAATTTCCTCACTCAACCAGAAAATGTACCATTTTATGTGTATTTGGAGAAACAAAAGCTCACCCACACTGACTGCTCACTGACAAAACATATAAGCCACAAGGAAAGCAACTGTCTCGTGGCCAGAGGAAGAGCCATCCCTCCACTGATCTAAAAGCCACAAAAATGTTAAATGAACAAAAACCACCATGTTCCACATTTTCTCTACAAAAGGTTATTGCAAGCTTCGTATAAGGTGGTCTTTCCCTTAGCTTAAGCCAAAAATCTAACTTTAGACTAGTAAAATAATTTCACAATTTAGTATTACTTTATGAATTAACATATTCCTGTTGAAAATTATTAGTTAAGGAAGCAAATGTTACAGGACTTCATGAGTTTTGTAGGGTTTTTGTTTGGTTTGGTGTGGTTGGTTTTTTTTGGGGGGGAGGGACAGTTGGCTGGAAGACTTCCACTTAACTACTCTAAGTTTAAACAGAGTGTTCCAATAACAAACTCGAAAAATATATTCAATCTCAATAACACAAATAGTCTTGAGCAGAATGCTCTCTGTAAAACAAAAACTGATAAGCACAAACTAAAATTTTACATTTACGGGAGCACTGCGTAATGCAGTGTGGGAGGAAAAAAACTGAGGAGAAAAAAAATAGATGCTGAATCCCACATGCCACAGACTTACACTCCAAAAGAATACAAATTGAGTGATCTTAATCCCCTCAGCATACAGTAACCGATGAAAAGCTCTCATGTTTGAGGCTTCAGGTCTATTTAATCATTTTGTGCAGCCTAAGCGGACAACACGTGAGCCCGATCGCGGCTCTGGCAGGGCCAGGAGTCATGAGCTTCCTGATGACAAAGCAGCAGCTCTGGTCTAGGAACGCCAGTCATTCAAACCTTTCTATTTAGGAGCCGAAAAATCACCAGTTAAACATCAGCCTGAAGTTCACCTACGACTAAGATGATCACCCGGTTGCACAGTGAGGGTTTTCATGAGCCACGGCAGTTGGCCAAGGGTACACGGCCCCTGTGAACAGACAGAGCTCAGCTGAGCAGGAAGTATGACAGATGGGAGCAACTCCCAGCACAGCCTTTGTGTTCATTTGCCCAGAGTCCATCAAGGTTTATTGCCTGGGCTCACAACTCAATACCCAACAACAACATTGGCAATCTTGGAACAATCCCTTTGTATTCGCTGCTTCGAAATCAGACAGCCTACAGCGAGCAAGGCAGTGACTCACAAATAAAAGAGTGAAGAAGTTCATAGTGGTTTAGTTTTTCACACTCATTTCTTTAAACTCAGATTCCAACATTAAAAGCCTTGGCTGTGGAACACCTCCCAAAGCACAACTTAAAGTTCAGCTAGGGACAAAAGAAATCATTAGTGGCAAAGAGACAAACATGTCATTTCTTCACTGCATGTAAAAAGCCATCACAGGAGAGTGACTAAGTGCTCTAAAAACCCACATCTCCCTTGTTTGTCCCCAATTTTGCATGCTTAGGCATGTCTGCACAGTGTAACACTCATGACAGAGCTCAGGACTATGACAGGGAAATGCCTCCTGACACCCCTTCAGATACGGAAACAGGAAATCTAATCTTCCTTAGGAAAATCACATTTGCAAAATCTCAGAAGTGCTCATTTGTATTTTCTCACATCTTTAAAAATACACAATAATTTCATTTGACACCACACCCTGGACTGGCAAGAAGTCTCAGCAGCAGTGTTACTCAAGGAACACCTCACTCCTCGCTCCTACCATAGCAGGCTCATCTCTTCCAGCACAGTGCTTGAAACACACACTCACACGCTGTTTAGAAAACATCAGATCCCATCGCTCAAAGGCTCCTACAGGGGCCTGGAGGCAAAAAGTATTGCACATGAGAAATGCCAAGAACATATCTACCATTAAACCACGATCTCAGATCTCAGGATGCAGTTCCAGGGGTGTCCCAATTTCTCAAGCTTCCATCTTGCATCATATTTTCATTAAGGAAGTTTTCCAAAGAATGTTACCATCACTGACAGTGCAAGGTCAAGAATGATGCAAGCCCATGAGAGCTCTACTGAACATGGATCTTTAAAAGATGACAGCTGACACAATGAGCTCTTTCATCTCCAGTTATTTTTAAAAGATATTCAGAACTGAATTTCAATACTGGAAATACGCAGAGAGGCTGCTGACAGAGGTACATGAAGAAAAAAGATACCTGAATTTATTAAATAATTTTTAATCTGCAAGGAAAATCACAGCTGTACTATTTATCATTTTTAAAAACAGTAACACTGATATGATGATGCTTGCCAATCAAAAATAATAACTGCACACAAGCCAGCTTTAAATACACTGTACTGATCTTTCCTGGAAATCTCCTACTGCAGCCTGCCAGGTTTAGCCAATATCCTTTAGCTTGCAAGGCAATTTCAGAAATAATCTAATTGACTTTATTGACTCACATTGGTAAACAGGAAATAGAAGCTGGACTCCTGCCCACTAACTGCTTCCCAAGAAATTACTGTGTGCAATAACCAGTACACCAGATGCTCATCACTTCATACTCCAATTCCTGCTCATTCAACATGGTACAAAAGAAACTGTAGAAAATTAAACAGAGGCTACCAATAGCTGTACTTCATGTCTGGTGTGGTACTGAACACCATGTGCTACATAACAGTAAAACTAAAGAACGGGAAAAGAAAAAAAAAAGAAAAGAAAAAACCCTGCATGTCCATTTTATTCTAATCATTATTTCTCTCCTTGCAATATGGAGTTAGGTCCCACATAAAGAAAAATGTCAAAAGCAATTTTACAAACAGAGTTCAGGTCAAACCTTGCTCACCATAACGTGACGGAGTCTCAGAGCAACATTAGGAGGCACATGCTGAGTGCATCAGGAAAAGTGCAGGAATTCTCACTGCTCAAGGACAGGTGCTGGCCGGCTAAAGACCACTTCTTGCATATTTGGACTAACTCAGCACGTTACAATTAAACCAAGATTTTCATGTCAGTCAGATCACAAACCACACGGCCTGTGCACATTCTCAAGTGTGAGATCTCTACGTATGATTCAATACATCTTGATGACACTTCAGCCCAGGAGAGGTCCCCTCCCCAGGGACACGCTTCTGGTTACACGAGCTGCCTTTGAGAAGGCTGAGAGTAAATCTCACACGGCAAAGCGCTACTTCCCAAAGCGCGAACTACCCTCGTTGCATCTGTAAAGCCCTCTGTGAGCTGCCACACCGGCAGGGAAGTGCCACTCCTTGGCAGGAGCCACGGGCACAGCTACCGCCCGCCTCCGCCCAGGAGCACAGCCCGGCATCCCTCCGCTCCCAGCGGTACTCCAGCCCCGGCAGGTGCTCCCACTGCCGAAGGAGCCGAGCTCCCGAGCCGCCGCAGCACGGGGGGCACCCCCTGATACCCCTGGCATCACCCGGGCACGGGCAGCGCAGAGCCCCGGCTGGAGACGCCCTCGGCTGACCCCGCTCCGCGGGACCCCGGACGAGCGGGACGGCCGGAGGGAGGGAGAGAGGGATGGAGGGAGGCCCCGCGGGGACCCGCCGCCGCCGCCGCCCCCCACCGCCGGGGCCTCACCCGTGCTCGTCCTCGTCGCAGGCCGGGTTGGCCCGCCGCGCTCCAAGGGCCGCTCCCGCCGACGTTGCCTTGCTGCCGCTCTTCTTCAGGATGCCTTTGATGGGCCCGCGGCCTGCGGCGGCCGGTACGGAGGGTACCGAGGGCACGGAGGGCGCCTCCATGGCCGCGCCGCCCGCCCGGTCCCGCCCGCTCGGTGCCGCCGCCGCCCCGG